CCTCCTGTGACTCACCTCCCCTCCCGCCGCCTGTTACTATGGACGCGGCCGGGAGGGGAGGTGAGTCACAGGACCCGCCCCCTCACTGTGAAGCCCGTCGGCAGTGCGGGGCCCAGCGGCCCGGTACCGGTCCGCAGCCCGGGGGTGGGGGACCACTGCTTTAGATTATACAACAGTTGAGTCGTTATACTTCATAAACAGCAAATGTGAATTCAGCACAAAAGCAATGAACATATTTGTGCTTGGGTAAGAGAGCTGACAAATCATTTTGTGGGACAAGCCTTCTGTGCTTCACTATGAAATATGAATATGCAAGACCGTAGTCATCACTGTATTCCAAGTGCTTTAGTAAACCAACAGCTTCCTTACCCGCCCCCTGCTCCGGTATTTTCTTTTAGGAACTTCTTCATCAAGGTCGTCATCACCATTTGCGTCATCATTTTCATCATTTTCTAGAACTCTCTGGGGGGCAAAAAAATGAAGTGTTACACTCCGAAACAAATCACATCAATAAAATAGGTGTAAAATATTTCAGATAAAAACGACATCTTAGCAAAATGACAAATCTGGGAAAGGAGATTAAAGAGTTGCAGAATGGAAAATTTCCCGATTAGTATTTTGGATTGTTTATGCAAATACCCCAATTCTCCAACAGGTTTCTTTCTACTCATAACTTGATACATAAAAGGTACTATGAGTATGAGTTTGGCCAGGTGTAACTATTATCATTTTTACATGCAAGTAAACAATTCATTGATTCAAAATAAAGCCTTTTTTTGTGTTTCTGGGGTACCTTTTTTTTCCTCAACTAGGTTAAAACTATTTCTTCATCTCACAAAGTTATGCTCACCACAAAACTATAACAATATCAAAGACAAAGATCCAAAAAGTCACATATATTCTGTAGCACGAACAGCCCAATTAATAGTCGAAGCTTTAGGTACATGTAAACCCAATCACTAAAGTCCCAAAGGCTTCACTGCAGAACTCAACGAAAAATTGTGCAATAAAGTGCCCAAGGTGTCCCAAGAAATAAAAGGCAGCTTCTGCTGCAATACTCAGCTCCCCCACTAAATGTCATTTAATTAGGGGTTCACATCTACCTTTCTTTTTAATAAAAAAAAAAAATGTTGTGCTCTATACACGAGACACAAAACTGGTAAAAAGGGTAAAAATATTTTATAGCAGAGGGATACAAAGATACGACTGGACCTAAATCAGTTTTCTCAAAAGAATAAATCAGGAAGACCGGAGCAAAAGACAGGGAAAAGGTAAAGATCACTAAAAGGAAAAATAGGATTGTTGCTATCGCAGCAAAATCCTTTTCTATTTCCTATTATCACTATTGAAGACCAACCTCTAAGTATTAAGGAATAAATCTCTCTCTAAATCAATGGTTCTTAACCTGTGGGTCCCACCCAAAAGCGGGTCGCAACCTCCTGTTAAATTGGGTTGCTGCGTGCCTTCTGCTGTGCTAGGCAAGATGCTCCTCAGTCTCCTCCTAGCAAAGCAGTGTCAGTTCTCCTGCCGCAACGCCAGATGTTGTTGCAGAGGCCCGGGAAGGAGCAGAGAGCAGGCGAGTGGTCTTTTTCTACATTTAGCCCTGCTTCGGGCAAGCGGGGCTCCCCACTGCAGGCTGCATTTCTGCCAGATGGCTGCCAGTTATCCCACCGTGGTTTCAATATCCACACAATTCCCTCCTTATTGTATAAGAAACTTACCTGGATTTCTTGTAGACTATCCTCATCTCTGATATCTTTCTTTTCTAGTCCATCACCTCGTAGCAGAGCCTCTAGAGTGGTCCCTTCTGACAAAACATTGTCTTTCCGTAAAGGATAATCCACATCTGGTTAGGGGGAAAAAAAGTTCTTAATTTCTGAGTTTAAATACAACCTAAAAACTGGGAAATTGAGTTTATTAGAATACATTTTTATATTAAACACACCTTTCCAATCCATTATTTTCACAACTTGAACCTGACACAAAAAGTATTTCTGAACAGCGAGCGTTTTCCAGAGGTCCTGAGCCCTTTTCTATCTAGGACACATTTATCCAGCTAATGGTATAGCTAGTAGTTGGTTCTATTCATCTGACTTTGTTCTGCAATGTTGAAGATGTTTCACTTCTTATTCCAGCAGCTTGTTCAGCTCATAATTTGGAGCGTAGGGAGCAGTTTGGATAAGCAGTGAATGCCTTCCACAATATAGAACAAAAACAGTTACATGTAACCAGCAACTACAAGCTGCACTGGTAATGTAACCCTTTTATGACCAGGAGACATGATACCCAGTCAGCATTGGTCAGTTAATTTATCTCATTTGACTTATTTGAGCACCTTCCTATATAGCTGGTGGTATTCTGCATTGCGATGTATAGAGGACTACAAATCCCAGCAATAATGCATTATACAGCGCAATGCAGAATACCACCAGCTATAATGTACTATTGCTGGGATTTGTAGTCCTCTGTAGTCGGTGCCATTCTGCATTCATTGCTGTATAATTTTACACTTTCCATTTCACTATATTGCACACCACTCTATTTTTTTTATTTTTTACTTCCACCGCTCCAAGCTTGCTCCTGTGATGGACTACAATCTCAATACAAACTAGTAGTCCCATCACTGGAGCCATTTTTTAAAATGTATTTTATTGTTTATCCGATTAACCGATTAATCGAACTTAATAATCGGCTAACTAATCGATTTTGAAAATAATCGTTAGCTGCAGCTCTACTATTCAGTGCTCTCATGCTGATGATATGAAAGCGAACCACTTTGATTGGTTCCTGATCGTCAATGAAAAACCCAGCTGTCACTATAGGCTAGAACAGAGAACCAACAGCTGTGCTCTTCTAAGGAAGTATGAGGCATCACGCCGGGAGATGTTAATATACTGATTGTGTGTGGAAAGGGGTTAACTGGTACTAGTTTGAAGTTCATCTGCAGGAGAAAGCCCTGCCTATCTACTTCTCAATCCATCTCTATCAATAGACACCTGAAGCTGGTAACAAACATTACAATCTGATCGCACAATCTGCTTTAAATTTACCAACAAACTATTTAGTGGAAGGACGTTTCTGACTGGATAAAAATAGAACAGATTGTCACAGCAGGGTAGGCTCTCCCACAGGATAACTGTGGATTAATATAAAGGAGAATGTATAACCAGATTAGAACGAGAAGTGTGACCTGCTCAGGGTGGTTAGTCACAATATGACCCCATTTGAATATTAAATAGTGCATTGTCAGCCTCTATGTCACTGTCCTTCTACAAAGAAAACCTAAATGACAGAGACAAGGTCCCATGAATCCTCTATTGTACATATAAAAAGACAACTGCGGCCATATCAAAATAAAAAATAGTTAGTTAAAAGGTGTGAGCAGGTGGGCTTGTCATGCATAACTCTTATACTCACCTGCTTACATAAAGCCAAAACACCTTGTCACAGAACTGCAGTCTCAGAATTGTTTTGCATTGTGTCCATAATACATTAATTTTTAAGTCTACAATCATTAGTTGGCAACAACCTGGATCATAGAAAGTTATCCAGAGTATCAGTCCGACAAGAGTCAGAAGTGTTTTAGCTCCCTATAGTTTTGTCAGTTCTTAGATTTTGAAGGGGATGTGGCCCTGCTAAAATCTTCATGATTTAGATTCACACTGCCAAATGACAAACACATATACAGGAGACAATCTCTATGTAGTATTTTAAAGCGATTGGAAAGGTAAAAATCCAGCACAACGTTTGAATCAGTTGGTGGCACTCCAAACATTTTACAAACCACCAACCCGCAAGTCCTAAAAGTAAATGTCCTGAAGTAATGTCAAAGCAATTTTCCACATGTTTTGGAAGAACAAGCAATTACATCAAGTCTTCGGATCTTAACTGCAGACCCGTAATCGCATGATCAGGACCACAGATCATATGTTCATCTCTGACTTATGAATGCACTTTACTAAAACAAGCGTCAACAATGTTACATTAAAATGCAGTATTTGATCAAATTCAAGGGGTGCAAAGAAAAGAGAGTGGAAAGGTAAAACATATTTTAAAGGCTTTAAGGAATTTTGTAATGGTGGTTAACTCTGCATCCTGCACCAATCTTAAAAAGATCAGTACCGCTTTCTATGACGTGCAAAATGCTTAGGTTGCCAAAGTAAGATGTAAATGGCACAAAGGCACCTAGAACTAGAGTAGGCCTTAAAGTGCACCTCCACCCAGATTATGGACTTTAAAGTATTGACATATTGTTCACAAGCAGTAAAATAGCTTTAAAACAAGCCATCACTGACCTCCTTAGCTGCATGTACTCTGACGTAATTCACTCTAAAATATCACAACAAAGACTCCAATGTTTCAGTAAGTTCTAACAGTTTAGCTACCCCTATTGTGTGTTTACATCAGAGGGCTGACAGGGTGCCAATATCTACTCTCAATACAAAGTAAGGCCCCATTCACACTGAGCAATTTAACGCGCGGTAATTCCCGCGATATCATGGCTATTTACAGCGCGATATCGCTCTCCAATGCAATCCAATGGGGCTCTGTCCGTCGCTAGTCGTGCGTCGCTACAGCAGCACCCTTTTTGGAGCGGATTTTGCCGCGATTCTAGGTTGCTCAATGCAACCATTTGCGCGATATCGCGCAAAATGCAAATCGCGCGCCAAACGCGCGATTTGCGAATCGCTCAGTGTGAATGGGGCCTAAAGGGGAGAGAGGTTGTGATTTCAGTGCTGCTGTTGTAAACTCTTAGATTCATTTCTTTATAATGCCAATAACTACAGAGGTGAATGAGGGCTTGTTTTTAAAGAACTTTTACTGCTTTCAAACACTTTATACCCGTTTCGTTACTACTTGGAGATAATCCTTTACAATATATCTTGCGCATAAATTCTTTAATAATCAAAATAAACACTACAGAAATCTCTTCACACATTTAAAACTAGGGCTGCAACAACTAATCAACATAATCGATTATTGAAAAAGTTGTCAACTTTTTCAATAATCGATTAATCGGCTTCTGATTGGTTGGCCCTGTTCACGGCTCCACACACGCTGCGCGCCACACCTCCTCCCCACCTCACGTTTGCCGCTGCCAGACCCACCCGCATCCATGCTCCGCACCTCAGCGCAAAACAGAATACCGCCAGCTATAATGTACTATTGCTGGGTTTTGGAGTCCTCTTTAGCTGGTGCCATTCTGCAAATTATTTTTTTCTTTTTTACTTCCACCGCTCCATTCTTGCTCCTGTGATGGAGTGCAATCTCAATACAAAATAGAAGTCCCATCACTGGAGCCATTTTTTTAAATTTATTTTATTTTTTATCTGATTAACCGATTATTCAAACTTAATAATCAGCTAACTAATCGAAATGAAAACTAACTAACTAATGAAAATAATTGTTAGCTGCAGCTCTATTTAAAACCATATAAAATATTTATATATTACCACGCTAAAGAGCTCCGTATTCACATTATAAAGATGTTATATAGTCCATAGTGTTCACAAACTACACTTACTTTGTAGCTCTATATTGTTTCATTCATCTACAGCCTGCTGGAAATTCATGTGTTATACTTTGTTTTACAAGATCCTTGCCACATTTGTGCTTTTTGCAAACACTGATCTCCCCAGCCTAGTTTTCAAAATATAATCCATGTCGGCAGGCCACTGGACTCTCCAATTCCACTTGGCAGGCCTCAGGAGCCTTGTTTCACACATGTGCTACAGAAAGTACTATAGTGGTTTGCAGCTGCTGCCTGCAGTGCATCAAGCATGGTAAAACTATCAATCATTTTGGTACCACATGCATGAGGAGACACATGACTGTACGCCACAATGTTCAGTGGGAACAGCTTATGAATAATACCGGCTGAGACTGGTATTCTTCCCTGCTCCATGGTTGCTGACTGTAACAGCTTGGTTGCTGAAGCCCAGGTCTTAAAGGACAGAGGCCTCTATGAAGCAGTTATCCCTACACTTCTGAAAGCTAAGAAGTTAACCTTCTGCAAGATCTACAAATCGCACCTGGAAGGTTTATTTTGCTTGGTGCTAAGTGAGGAAGTTTCATCCCAGAATGTTCTGTGTCGAACGCATCCTGTCTGCCACCTGGTTCTCTGTTCAAACTTTTGCAGTTTTACTAGGTAGATGTTTCTGACTCTGTAGATGCTAGCTTTGGCCACATGGTTCTTCAGGCGGCCCTCTGATTTGTGGGCCCCTGCTGTTATAGTAGGGGTTAGTTATTTGCTGTTGCCTGTCCCTCTGTGGGACTGCTTTTGGATCTCTCATACGTTGGAAGAAGAATTCATTTCCGTGTTGCCTCTGATGTATGATTCATGATCTCCGATCTGTTACCTGTGTCCTTCAATGAACGGGAGAGAAAACAGGATTTTTGTCTTACCTGTAAAATCCTTGCTACAAAACTGAGGCAGAGCGGGAGGGGTTATACAAGGCTTTCTTAGAGCCTTGATTGATTTGCCATTGTCCAATCACCTAATGATAACCCATCCACTGAAGAAATAACTGTGTCTTGTGATGTACTCCAGGAAACGGATTTTACAGGTAAGACAAAAATCCTATTATTTGGTTTGGAGTGGGCTTTTATTATTATTATACAGGATTTATATAGCGCCAATAGTTTGCACAGCGCTTTACAATATAAAGAAGACATTACTGTCACAATACAATTCAAGACAAGATGGTAAGGAGGGCCCTGCCCGTGAGGGCTTACAATCTAAAATTTTATAAAAATGCATGCAACTGGTAAGGTCTACTGTGAATAAAAGCATCTGTCGATGATGCACATAACATTTTATATAGCTTTTATAAGTTTATACAATAT